CCTTAATTGTTTTTCAGACCGAAGAGCTGCATTCCTGCAGGAATGCGCAGTGGCTGCTTTCATTTGGCCCAAGCTGTCAGGTATTGTTTGACTGGCACCAAGTGCATGGCAGTTGAACGGGTTGTCTTATTCACTGTCTATGGGTGGATGCGTTCTTAGTCTGCAGATGCAAGGGATGAGAGGTCATTTTGTCTGCAGACGTTTGCATGGTTGCTTCCTCCATCTCGCTTTTGTTTCAATCGTTTCTGCCGCCATGTCTGAGATGCAGACTTCGCCGTCAGGATTGGCCTGGTGGGGGGCGGCATTGCCGACAGGCGAAGCTTCGTGGCATGGTTTTTGGGCGCAGAATCTCAGGCTGCCAGGGCTGGCCTTGCTTTCTGGTTTAGTCACCGCCTATTTGGTGAGGCTCCTCCTCGTGAAGGCCCGCCTTGAGGGCTCCAAAAGCTGCTGACTTCCTTTAGTTGCATCCGGAACAATACCTATAATGCTATAGGCTATACACTATACAGCGTAGTGTGGCCGTGTAGCCCATTATTCAATAGCTGGTAATTCGTTTCCTGCTTGTCTATGAAAGGGGCTGCTCGAACAGTATACTCGATAGACATTCTTGGTCAAGGTACACTTGAAGGCAGCTTACGCTTCTGCGAGCCCAAGAGGCTATTTGTGGACGCAGCTGGGAGCCCTTGGTGGCACCAACGTACTTGGTATTCTCTTTGGGATTTTCCTCCTCTGCAGCTCTCAGGGCTGCAATCGGGCCAGTGTTTTGATTGCTACTTTGGCCTCGGAAGCTTGGAAAGTTGCCGATATGGCAGATGCGCTGGAGATTTCAACGTCTTCTTTCGGCCACAACCTGGATCGGCTATATTCAGAGTGCCCCGCGACGACGCACGAGTTCCTAGGCCCGTCCATCACGCAGCGGAAGCGCGAGCTCGAAGTGGGCAGGGCAGCCTTAGCCAGGCTGGAAGGCATGCTGCAAGGCCTCCCTAATCTATTGGATACATTAGTGCATGCAAGTCGAAGTTTGGTAGTTTCGCTCGCCGGGCTTCAAATTCTGTCGCTTGTCAGCCTCATTGTATGCCTTGCATCTGCGGGGCTGGTGGTCTTCCTTGCTGAGTCTTCCGGCCCGAAGCTGGCAAAGAGATGCAGCTGCTGTCAGCTCCCATGTTTGGCTTCTGTTTTGTTTGCTCCTGTACTCATACTGGTTGCCGGGTGTGCTGCCGCCGAGCTCTTCCTAGCTGTGTTCTCTAGCGCTATGTGCCGCCAGCCAGAACTGGCGGTCCTGAACTTTGCCCAGGGAGAGCTTGGGACGTCACCAGCACTAAATTTGACCATGGAGTATCTGCACAACGAGAGCACCAACGGCGCTGTGGATAGCCTCCAGGTTCTCCACACGCAGCTGTCCTCCTTGGATGAGTGGGTTATCACATACGGCGAGGCCATTGAGAGGAGCTGCCCCGCCTGGAATGTTGCAAATGTTTCCCAAAATCTTCGGGCAATGATAGCGGAACTGCAGACTGCCAAAGCCTTTCTGGACCCCACGCGAGTTTCGCCGCAATGGATTCGTTTGCATGACCTTTTATGCAACGCTGGCATCTCAGACTTGATCAGGCTCATACTCATAAACCTTTTGCTGGGCCTTCTCTGCCTGCCGCTCCTTGCATGTGGGGTGAGTTGCCTTCTGGAACACCTTGTGGCTGAACGCGGTCCAGGAGGTGTGGGCTACGTCTTCAACTTGCTTAGCACAGAAGATGCTGACCAAAGCTCCTAAGGTCCCAGGACTCTCTTCTTCTAGGATTCCTGCAAGTGTCCATGCGTGTTAAATCGCATTGTTGGTGTCAGCCGGGGGGGGGGGGGGGGGGNNCTACGGACAATGGATTCCTGAACATGTCATAATATGGACCATGTAGCTGCGAATGGCATGGAGGAAGGTTTGTACAGTATGCACCGGCCGCAATGTCGGCCCCCTGACGAATGCAGCGCTCGGAAGCAGAACCGTGCCTGCTGAGAGCTGCTTCTGTGGCCTAGCAATGTTTGACATCGCTGGCCAATGGCAGCAAAACATTGCTGATTGTAGTGCCCAGGACGAGTCCACTAGGCAGAGGGTGATTCGCATTTGTTTGGGTTTATTTTTGCTGGAATGTGAGGGAGGTGGGTATTGTTGTTGTTGTTGTTGTTGGAACACATGCAGCAAACGTTTCTGAAGAGAAGTACATTCACCTACCAGCTAGAGGGGCCACAATCACCTCAGAGCGTTTTGAGTTTTCTTGGAGATGATCTTGGTCTCCCACACTTAATTCACTCAAGTTCGCCTTCGCCCTGCCCTGTCTCAGGATGGCGATTCCAAGAGCGGCTTGACATTCGCTTACACTTCTTGTGGGCTTGCATGCAAGTGTCGCCGTGGACCCGACGCGCGGGGGCCGCC